AAGAGAAGAGAAGAGAAGAGAAGAGAAGAGAAGAGAAGAGAAGAGAAATTAATGGAATAGGATAGGATTCTTTATTGGCCAAGTGTGATTGGACACACAAGGAATTTGTCTTGGTGCAAATACTCTCAGTGTACATAAAAGAGACATTCATCTAGAGTCAAGAAGCATCAGGTACAACACTTAATGATAGTCATAAGGTACAATCAGCAATCAAATCATACTAGGAAACAGTATGCATCGTAAGGATGCAAGCGACAAAGTCACAGTCATACAGTCACAAGTGGGAGGGGATGGGTGATAAGGAGTGATGAGAAGATTAATAGTAATAATAGTGCAGACTTTGTAAATAGTTGGACCGTGTTGAGGGAATGAGTTGTTCAGCAGAGTGGTGGCGTTTGGGAAAAAAACTGTCCTTGTGTCTAGTTGTTCCGGTGTGCCAGGCTCTATAGCGTCGTTTTGAAGGAAGGAGTTGAAAGAGTTTATGTTATTATGAGGGGTGTGTAAATGTTTGTCATTGTTTTCTGAGCCTCGGTGGGTGTTTCACTGCTGGGTTTTACCTTGGGAGGGTGTCTCTTATCTTATTTACTTGTTGCCTAGATCTTCCTGTTTTCCAAGAAGATTGTGACAATGCACCATGTCCTCGTCACTGAACACATTGTAGGTTTTAGGGTGGATGTGTGTGGGGTTATACGTAACAGAAAGAGTAAAGAGGAACCTCCTAGCTTAACCCTACTATGTAAAATCCTATCATAAAAGAGTCACTTATAATACATTTCTCTCAAATCTCTTCTCGAAAACCTTCCGTGATGGAGCCATGCGCACCTTCCGGTGGCTGGTTGTTCCGCTGATTAATTGTACATCTCCCTGGCAGTGGAACTTCCATGTTGAAGGGCAGTCTACCTTTCAGCGAAGGGTTTAGTTGCCATCCCTGATAGGCATCCGGCTGTCCTTGTTTGTAAACAAACAACACGAGGAAAAGGTGGCTCCTTCGTTTAAGCAAGGACTTCCTGCTTTTTTAAAAAACTGTATTTTAATGAGGATTTTATTTTTAAGGAAGGAGGGTGTAACAAGAGGGAAGGGATTTTGCATATCTCCTTCATCACTTAGGATTCGCTGGGTGTGGATATAAAGAATCGGAATTCTTTATTATTTTATCTCTCTATATATAAAAGGAGAAATGCCCCTCATCATCACAAAATCTCCAGAACCGTAAAGCCTACAAATTTGAAATTTGGCACGTAGGTTTCTCTTGGCTTCTAGAGGCTCACTAAGAAAGGATTTTTCAAAATGACCATCAGAGCATTTAGAGTATTTCCTATATTATTATTATTATTATTATTATTATTATTATTATTATTATTATTATTGCTGTTGCTGTTGTTGTTGTTGTTATTATTGTTGTTGTTGTTGTTGTTGTTATTATTATTATCTGATGCTAAGGAGTTTTACGCCCCCTCCTGACCTGGAAAGAAATCTCTTCCAAATGCAAAACACAAGCAGAGGAGTTTTAGTTTCAGTTTCACAGCAGCCCCAAGCAGCTTTAGTCCAGAACAGTTGAGCTAAGCCACGCCCAGGCTCCTTGCTGTCTCCTTCTTGCTCATGCAGCAAATACTCTTTCAGTTTCCAAACAGCCCTCCACTCTCTCACCCGCTGACAAGGACGCTAGCCGGATGGATACCGATGGATGCTTGTAGGCAGAGGCAGATTTCCCCCCCGCCCCTTTATTTTCCTCCCCCAAAACTAAGCCCCGCCACGTAGTTTCGGAGCGAAGCACGGGTATCCAGCTAGTATTCTGTGTATAGATTTTCGTGAGAACGGTTCCCTTCTCCATCCAGGAAGCCGAGACTGCGATCGGAAGTATTTCGACGATGACTCAATGGTCTGTGTGTGCAACAGTACGTATTGCGACACCCAGGATCCCGTCCTTCTCCCTCCCTTGGGTCAGTTTGTCGTGTACGAAAGCAGCAAATCTGGGAAGCGGCTGGAGCGCAGAGAAGGTCATTTCCAGAACAGAACAACCAATCCAGGTATTTCTTCCTCACATGTGTCAGGGACTTCCGGTTGTGTTTCCTTCAAGGACGGACCGAAGACCGTGATCGTGCGCGGCTTCGATCCACGTTGTACCTGTTAGACGGCTCCAAACGGAGCTAAAACCACCTTGAAGGGGTGGGAAAGAAGAGGGAGACTGCATGTCAGGTCGAGGGGAACCGGATGTGTCAGGGACTACAAGTCCCATTTCTCCCTGAGTCCAACTGGCTGGTGGCCATGGAAGGAAGCGGAGAGACAATAGCGCCTTCTCGAGGCGGTTTTTAATGTAATGAATACAGGCTGCTTTACAGATTAACCGATTAACAGAGTTGGAAGGGACCTTGTAGGTCATCTAGTCCAACCCCCCCCTCACTGCCCTCGACTTACATCTGATTTGTTTAGTGACCAAAGTTACAGCGGAGTTTCTCACACTTACGGCCATTGCTGCGTCCCTGCGGTTGCACGATCAAAATTCAGACACTTGGCCACTGACTCATATTTATGATGGTCACAGCGTCCTCGGGGGGTGACACATGGTCCCCTTTTCCGACCGTCTGTCAGCTGGATTCACTTAACAACCGTGTTACTAGCGTAGTAACTTCAATGATTCACTTAAGAACAGTTAACTGTTAAGCTTTTACCAGTCCCAGACTGAATCAAATTGAAGATTAATAATAATAGTAATAATTATTCCATTACATGCTTCCAACTGTAACATTCTATTTGTGGCCTTTATTTTAGGTATTTGTTTATAAAATGTACAGGCCCCTTATCTTTCTTTCCGTCCTTCCCTTTCTTAGATATTCTTCTGATTTTGGAGACGGATCAGCGGTATCAAAGAATAAAAGGATTTGGGGGCTCCGTCACCGATGCAGCCGCCATCAACATCCTGGCTCTATCGCCGAACGCCCAGAAAAATTTACTCCGTTCTTACTTCTCGGAGGAAGGTGAACGTCGGTTGCAAGGGGTTTAGTGATTGAAGAGGGAGGTAGAAAGGGAACTAGAATGAATTGTGCTGAGAAGAAACTACAGGGTGGACGCGCGTTTGTGCATTCTATCCAGTGGTGGGATTCGGTCGGTTCTCACTGGTTCAGAAGAACCGGTTGTTAACTTTCTGAGTAATTTGATTTAAATCCCGCCACCGATTTTTTTTCTCCATGTTGTGTTGCTCCAATGTCTACAAGAAAAAAAAATTGGTTAAAGAATTATAGCTGTCAATTTGTGCCAATTTTTGGAGATATAACAATCTTGGGAAAATGATATTTACACACATACCTATGGGCTCTCCACTCATATAAACCAGGGAGTGACCCTAACTGTTTGAGAACATGTATTTTCATAACAGGGAGGTTACTACCCACTATTAAGGTACTATAATGTGTCAGGACTATTTTTTTATATATTGTAAATAGTGATGTCTATTGCTGGTCTAAGACCGTCATAAAGTTATATTCTATTCTTCTATCTCCACGTTTGAGCTGGAAAAATGAACCCAGGTCTGGACACCATTTTTAGCTGGGGAAAAAAATTCTCTGGAAACAATGTGCAAATGTGACTAACTAAAACTGTTTCCGGCTTTGATCGGATTCCCTTTGAGAATGGAACAGTTTGCCTTTAGAAGTTGTGGGAACTTCATCCCTGGAGGCTTTCAAGAAGAGACTGGGCTGCCATTTGTCAGAAATAGTATAGGTTCTCCTGGTTGGGTGGGGGGGGGGGTTGGACTAGATGACCTACAAGGTCCCTTCCAACTCTGTTGATCTGTAATCTGTCAGAAATGGTGTAGGGTCTCCCTGCTTGGGCGCTTAAGGTTACATTCCTGGGCTGCCAATCAGCACAGATTCCTTCTGTGTTTCTACAGCTAGTGCTTGATTTAAAGTCCACATATTGAGCCCAGCTTTGCTGTCAGACATTTCATCCAGGGAGTTTTGCCCTCTTTTACGACGGTAACAATACAACCCTTTTGTGACTGTGTGGTCCAGTTGCTAAGTTTTGGATTTAGAATTTGCAAAGGTATATATATATATATATATATATATATATATATATATATATATATATATATATATATATCAATTCTTGGCCCGGCCAAGCTAACCAGCGGTCTGATTGCATACAAGCTGAGTTATTGTGCTCAAATCCACCCACCCCCCCACCCCTGCACACACACACACACACACACTGACTGTCTGCCTATTTACACACCACAGGGATTGAATACAATATTGTGCGTATGCCCATGGCGAGTTGTGACTTCTCTGTCCGGCCATACACCTACGATGATTTTCCGTATGACTACGAGTTGAAGAATTTCAGCCTGGTTGCAGAAGACCTACTAATGAAAGTAAGCTTTACACACACACGCACACACACACACACAAAAGATGGGGGTCGGGGTCGGCAGAGGGATATGGGGATGACTCTGGGCGGCTTCCAGAAGTTGTAAATGCGTTTTTTTTTAAAAAAAAATTGAAAAACCTTTATTGAAATTAGTAACGTTAAAATACAAATAAATTTAAAGATAGCTTTTTACAATTCTCCATCATCTTTGACAGTACTAAAATATCTTTGCTACCTAAACATAATCCCACACATTTCAAGTTATTCATATCCATATCTATATCTTCCTCTAACCTGTACATTTCTTATTCCTATTATCTAATCATTGATACCAATTTTCCCAGCTGTATAATATTCCGAGTCTTCCTTGTCCTTTAACTCTTAAAGTGAGTTTATCTATTTCTTCACAATCTTAAAATCTTTTGGATTACAAAATTGGCATAGTGTCTTCTTTCCAGCATTGTGCGAGTGCGATTCTCGCTAATTCTCTGTAATTATAGTCAAAAATCATGTACTTTTGTCTTTTTAGCATATTTTCCCTCAATAATCCCCACAAGGAACTGAAATTACAGCCATTTTTCGTATTTTGATGCAGTATTTTTTAACTTCAGGGTAGAGCCACCATACAGGAAAGAAGGTACCTGTTTACCTTCCCAACAATTTGGATTTAGATTAGGGTACATTTTTGCCAACCTTGTTGGGGCTATCAATGCCAACGTGTGAATGGAGTTTTTAAAAAGATGTTGGGTAACCCTTTTGTCTGAAGTGGTGCCTAAGCAGGGGGGGGGGGGGTTTGGACTAGATGACCTCCAAGGTCCCTTCCAACTCTGTTTATTCCTCTTCCCCACAGATCCCCATCGTCCATCGGGCCAAGGCTATGTCCAAGAGGCCCATCTCCCTCATGGCCAGTCCGTGGACGGCTCCGATTTGGATGAAGAGCAACGAGGATTGGAAAGGAAAGGGTTGGCTGAAGGGGCAGGCAGGGGATTCCATTCACAAAACCTGGGCTTCCTATTTTGTCAGGTGAAAACGGGCAGACAAATGTCTTTTATTTTACACTACCCTCTGTAGGTTGTAGTTGGCAAATGGAATAAGAGATCCTTATTGCTCCGATTCGTCTCTTGAAAGACGGTGTGGAGTTGCAGGCTGCATCTCTTCTTTCCGCGTTTATTTCTTTTTATTTTATGTAGCAAATTTATTTGGCTTTCTTAAATCTTGACCTGGCCGAGTTTTCTTTTGCAGAGAGGCAAAGAAAACTTCTAGAGAAAGATTGAGCCCGCAGTTTGCAAGAGCCAGGCCTGACCCATTGGATGGTACCTGTGAAAGTTTTCTTAGTAATTATGTTATGAAATTGAGGGGTTCAACCTTTAATAAGTGAACATGCACGTTCACTTAGTGTGTCTAGCTGTCCTTGCTTTAAAAAAGTTAAAACTCAATTTAAAAATTATTTTCAGAATCATAAATTATTTTTTTTAACATTAACTTATGTTTTTACATTAGAAGTTACTTTTTCAACATGAAAAGTTATTTTTTAAAAATGAAAAATAGTTTTCAGAGCTAAGCATATCCTTCCAAGTTAAAAATTATTTTTTTAACATTAAAAATAGTTTTTGAAATTAAAAAAGTTTCTAAAATGAAAAATACTTTTTAACATTTAAACATACTTTCTCAAATTAAAAAATAGTTTTTAAAATTAAGTTTTTTAAATTAATTTTTTTTCCACTTAAAATATTTTTTAAAATGAAAAAGTTTTTGAAATGAAAAAACAGTTTTTAAAATAAAAAAGTTTTTAAAATGAAAAAAACCCAGTTTTTATAATTAAACAATAGTTTTTAAAATTATTTTAAAATATTTTAAAATGGCAGTTAAACAGTTTTTAAAATTAAAGTTTTTGAAATGAAAAAAGATGGTTTTAAATTAAAAAAGATAGTTTTAAATTAAAATGGTTTCTAAAATTAAAAAAAAAAACGGTTTTAAAAATGAAAAAACAGTTTTAAAAATGAAAGAAAAAAAATTTAAATGAAAAAAAGACCAGTTTTTAAAGTTAAAAAAAAGTATTTTAGATGGTTGCCTTCAGGAGTTGATCATTTTCGCTGGTTTTAAATGTGAGCAAGGCTTGTCTTTTTCTCCCGGCCAAGGTTCCTCGATGAATATGCCAAGCAGAATTTAACCTTCTGGGCTATCACCGCTCAGAACGAACCTTCCTCTGGATTTGTGAAAAATTATCCTTTCCAGACGATGGGATTCACCGCGAAATCACAACGTGAATTCATTGCCTTGGATCTTGGCCCAGCCTTGGCCAAAAGTTCGCACAAGAACATCCAGTTAATCACCTTAGATGACAACCGGATTCATCTCCCGAAATGGGCCAAAGAGGTGAATGGAAGGCTTCAAACTTCAAAACTTTTTTAAAAAAGAAAAAGGAAAAAAACAATTATTTTTTTTAAGAAATCAAGCTGCTTAGTGTTCTGACCAAAGCTTGCTGAGACTGTAAAGAAGAACACCTTTAATTAAAACAATTCTTGTTTGAGTTCAGTGCTGGGAATTACGTGCATTCCCAGCCGGTAATGAGTCTCAAACAGTTGCCAACTATTTTCCTTTGACCTGCCAACTTAGTTGTTGACCTGCCAACTAATGTCCTAATTGGGAATATGCTTAAACGTTTTTACAGCCTTGTTCATTTCCTTTCACAATTCTTACATAATTCCTTACATAATTCCCCGTCAGGGATTCTTACACCAGGGGGTCTTCAAAATTGACAGCTTTCAGACTTGTGGACTTCAACTCCCAGAATTCCTCCTCCTCCAATCACGTTAGTTCAGGAATTCTGGGAGTTGGAAGTCCGCAAGTCAAGTTTGAAGGCCCTTGGGTTACACAAAGGCTAACATGGCATTATTATTGCTCTTTCTTTTACAGGAATAATTCTTTATTTCTCACAAGATAAGGAAGGTGATGTTTGGGGGGATCTCTTGGTGGCCTCCTGTCCCAACAGCCAACGAGCCTGAGATTTTTCCAAGCTTTTTTAAGAGTAAAAATGTGAGGTTTTTCAAAGAGATAGGACAAGTGAAGGATGGAAGGATTTCAAGTGCCAGAATTTCCCAGCCAGAATGCTGCCTGGGGGGAATTCTGGGAGTTGAAGTCCACCTGTCTTAAAGCAGGCAGGCTGGGGGGATTCTGGAAGTTAAAGCCCTCAACTTGCCAAGGTTGAAAAACACTAAGCTAAATAGTCCTCTAACTCAGGGGTCCCCAGCCACCGGTCCCTGGACCAGTACCGGTGCGTGGAACAATTTCTACCGGGCCGCCGGTTTGCTGGGTGCCGCCATCTTGTTTTGATGAAAAAGTGCTTCCGGTGAGCTTTTTCGGGTAGAAAGCAGCGTTTGGGTGCTGAAAGAATCCTCGCGCCTTAGTTTCATCGAGGGGGGGTATGTGGCTTCGAACAAAACTAAGGCGCGAGGATTCTTTCGGCACGCGTGGCAAGGCGAGCCGAGCGACCGTCCCGAAGCCGTCCCGAAGCCCATCGACACAGGTACAAAGGAGGAGTTGAAGGTGGCGGGGAGAAGCAGGGGACGGCTGGCTGGCCGGTCACTCGGCTCGCCTTGCCATGCGTGCTGATGCCGGTACCGGGCCGCGGATGATTTTGTGATGCCGGTACCGGGCCGCGGCACAAAAAAGGTTGGGGACCACTGCTCTAACTGGATTAGAAGCAGCGGTTTCTGCAGGTCCACGGCAGGGGTTAGACTGGATGACCTCTGCATTCTCTCCCGACTCTGATACCTTCTCCCCTGTCCAGGTGTTGAGCAGTGAGAGCCAAGCCTATCGCTACATTCACGGCATCGGCCTCCACTGGTACATGGACTTCATCAGCCCCATCAAGGGGACAGTAGAAGCCACGCAACGCCTCTTCCCTGACTATTTTCTGATTGCCACCGAAGCCTGTGCCGGATCTTTCTTTTGGGAACAGGATGTTATCCTCGGCTCCTGGGATCGAGGCGAGGACTACAGCCATAGCATCTTGGAGGTACAATGTGGGGTCGGTGGAAGAGAGTTGGGGTGAACGCCAGGAGGAGGAGAGAAGGGAGGGAGGAGAAAAAAAGGAACAAGAGAGGCAGGGGGAGGAAGGGAAAGGGGAGGGTCAGAAGGAACAATAGGAGGAAGGGAGAGAAAGGAGTGAAAAGGAAGA